TGTCAGCAGGTGACACACTGAGGGCACTGTGGTGACACTCCTCTGGGTGTCACTGAGGCTGTTTCCTCATTCCAGTGGAGCAGATTGAGTATTTGCTCAATATGTGTGTGTGCCATTTGCTCACAGTGCAATGGAGCTGTTGGAGTCAGGCAGAAATAGAGGAGAAAAAGCAATTAGGGATTGAATTTTGTCCTGGTAAGGAGGCCCATGGTTGCCAAGGCTGAAGCATTGCTTCAGTAGCTGCTTGTGAGTCCTGGCACCTAGAGGGATGCAAAAGATCCTTCTTGTTAGATCCCTTCCACAGGGAGCTGCCAGCCTGGCTCACTGACATCCACAGCTCCAAGCCCATTATGTTCAGGTGGGCTGCCTCTCATTTCCAAGAATTCCTGCAGGAAAAGAGTTTTGTGAATACTTGTCTGAAGAAATATTTGTCTCAGTTGTGCTCTTGTGGCTGTCTGATGTCGTTATTGTCCTGTTTACTCAGCACAGTTCGATGAGTTATTTAAAAGTTGCAAAGTGCTGGTTGTTTAAAAGCTACCTTTGGGTGCCCAGGGAGGCAGGACAGGGATTTCTGTCTGGTTTCATGTAGGCATGAGGAGAGAGCTGTGCCTTCCCCCCAGCTCCCCAGAGCACACCAGTAATTCACAGGGCACGATTTACAGGCAGGCTGCTTCCTAACCTCACCGTGCTGTGATGCAACCCACTGCCCTTTAAATAACCGCTGTCTTTGGAAGGCATAAATACTTACAGGGTGAAAGGAAAAAAAAAATATCCACTGCTCCCTCCTGAAAGATCTAATTTATCTGGAATTATCTATCCATGGCTATAAATCCTCTGCAAAACTTGGCAGGAGTTTTAAGGCAATGACTGTATATTTTTATCCAAAACCTCGAGAAGGAACAAACTGAAGCCCCAAACAGCAGCTCTGAATTGTTGCTGCTGAGAGCAGGGCTGCAGGGGCTGCCTCGCCTGGGAAGCACCACGCAGCAGCTCTCATGAATTCCCACCACATCTTTTCTGGTTTCTTTCTGAGCAATTCCTGCTTGAGAAATTATTTTTGAAGAAATTACTTTGAGACATTACTGCCCGTTTTCCTTGCTAGCAGCAGACTCAGAAGAGCATCCCGAGGGCCCTGGCTGGAGCAGCAGCTTTAAGTCTCTTGCTAACATTTCCTGGGCACCACATCTGCAGGAAAGCAGGGCACAGGTACACGCATCCTTGCTGTCCACCTACTCAGGCACAAGGCAGGGCTGGCTCTGACTCATCTGGCTTCCCACTTTCTCTTCTTTGTTCTTCTTGTCTCCCTGAAGCAGGAGAGAATCCAGCTTTTATTTAAATGAGGCCCTATAAACATAAGCAGCTGCAAAGTAGGACAGGTTTTTAATGGCTTACACCTCCTCGGGCTTGGCTTCTTCCCTCCAGCCTCTGTGGCTGTGACCATGCTCTATCTCCACCAAAAAAACCCCCGGTTCAATGACATTTCTGCGTGCACTGGGACCTGCCTGCTCATTTCTGGGAGTGCACTCCCTGCACAGAAAAGATTAACAGATTAATTAGGCGAGCACAGCATGGTGAGGAGCTGTGTCCATGAGCAGCTGAACCCATCCAGAAAGCTGCTGGGGCCTCATGACCCCCTGGGGGTGTCAGCTTTGCCCTGTCCCCCAGCCCTGACCTCACCCCTGCTGGAGCAGGGACGTGCCCCACACCCTGTGAGCTGCTAGAGTGAGTGCCATGGCTGTGGTTCAACAGAACTGCCCAGGCTGGCACCTCTGCAGGAACTCGTGGGTCAATAAATTCCTTCCCTGGGGTTCTGGTGTCCAATAATCCAAGAATGTGAAGAATTTCCAGATTATCTTTTTTTTTACCGTTCTCTGAGTTAGTTACACGAACCAAAGCTTTTTACATCGCCCTGTCACAGTCCGAGAAAAATACATATTTATCACACTGCTATTTCTAAGTTTTGTTAATAGCAGAACTAAAAGGAGCTATATTCACACAGCAAAGTTTTCCAGCCTTATACATTTAGCATTCATTTTAATATTTGCGAAAAACCCATGATATAATATGTGTATATATTGTGTATTGTGTATTGTATATTGTGTATTGCATATTGTGTATTGTATATTGTGTATTGCGTATTGTATACGCATATTGTATACGCAATATACAGATATTGTAGACTGCAGATGGTAGATTGTGTATATGTATATATAATATAATATAACAACTGCCACAGTTCCGTGGTCAGCACAGAGGGACCCTGACGCTTGTTCTCTGCTGTCTCTTCCAGGAATGGAGGGATGTGCGAGCAGCTGGGAGCAGCAGGACACCAGCACGGCCCTGCGGGAATGGCGTGGAGGTGATTCCCTGTGAGGACACAGCAGGAGCGCCCTAGACCCTGGAGGAACGTGGTGGAGCTCCCCTTGTGCCCCGTCACCAGGGATCTGTACCGGGGTTTGTAGCCCAGAGCTGTGCTAGTGCCGTAGGAGAGCCTGAGAGCCATGAGGGAGCCAGCAGAGAGGAGGGACGTTCCTGCAGGAGGCCCTGCACAGCCGTGAGCCCTGGCTGCTGGTGGCGGAGGGTGCCTGGGGCTGGGCTGCTCGGCCAGCCCTGGGCTGGGCGCAGAGCCGCGCTGCCTGCAGGGCACCGCCACCACCGCCATCACCGCCACCGCCGAGGGGCGAAGGGCAGGCCCGGGCTCTGCGGGGACAGCCCCAAACGCTGGCCCGGCAGGGCTGCCGGCCGAGCCGCTGCTGCTGCAGGCGCCGCTGCCGCTGCAGGCGCCGCTGCCCGGGGTGGCAGCGGGGGACAGGCCGGCGCTGGGGGCCTGGGCTGGCCGCGGATGTGCCCCAGCCCAGCGCCGCCGGCAGCGCTCGCCTAGCGCCGGCAGGGCCGCCCGCCTCGCCATGGTGCTGCCGCCGCCCGACCGGCGCCACGTCTGCCTCACCACCATCGTCATCATGACCAGCATGGCCTTCATGGACGCCTACCTGGTGGAGCAGAACCAGGGGCCCCGCAAGATCGGCGTCTGCATCATCGTGCTGGTGGGGGACATCTGCTTCCTCATCGTGCTGCGCTACGTGGCCGTGTGGGTGGGCGCCGAGGTGAAGACGGCCAAGCGGGGCTACGCCATGATCCTGTGGTTCCTCTACATCTTCGTGCTGGAGATCAAGCTCTACTTCATCTTTCAGAATTACAAAGCGGACAAGAAGAACCTGGAGACGGTGGCCAGGAAAGCTCTGACCCTGCTGCTCTCCATCTGCGTGCCGGGGCTCTACCTGGTGCTGGTGGCCTTGGACAGCATGGAGTACATACGGACCTTTCGGAAGAAGGAGGACTTGCGGGGACGCCTCTTCTGGGTGGCCCTCGACCTGCTGGATATCTTGGACATCCAGGCCAACCTGTGGGAGCCACACAGGACCGGCCTGCCCATCTGGGCAGAGGGGCTCATGTTCTTCTACTGCTACATCCTGCTCCTCATCCTGCCTTGCGTGTCCCTCAGCGAGATCAGCATGCAAGGGGAGCACATCGCCCCGCAGAAAATGATGCTCTACCCCGTGCTCAGCCTGGTCACCATCAACATCGTCACCATCTTCATCCGGGCCATCAACATGATCTTGTTCCAGGACAGCAGGGTCTCCACCATCTTCATCGGCAAGAACATCATCGCCATCGCCACCAAGGCGTGCACCTTCCTGGAGTACAAGCGGCAGGTGAAGGAGTTCCCGCAGAACGCCATCGCCCTGGAGCTCCAGCAGAACTCCCTGTCGCACAACCAGACCATCCACAGCACGCAGGGCATCCCCCACGAGCCGTCGCCCACCAGCGAGATCCTGGACACATGAGGGGTGTCCCAGGCCGGCTCTGGTTCAGACGGCCCTGTGCCGAGCGGAACAGGGGCGATGCTGCTCAGACAAACCCCGGCAGCGGGGGCTCCTCTGGGCACAGGAACACCCACCGCATTCCGGTTGAGCTATGGAGTGTCCTCTGGGCGTCTTCATCTCAGGTATAACCCTAGGAGTCCTCCCGACAAACCAAAAGGACTTGCAAAGGACCTGGACCAGCTGACCCCACCCTCTGTCCCCCTCCTGCCACCATCTCCCCTCCCGAGCAAAGACCGCTAAGGTTGCAACGTCCCTTTGTAGCCCCCGAGCACCTCACCTTTACTCCAAGCCCGGATCGAAGATTTTGTAACTGGAGACCTTTTTACGGGGTGGGGACAAGGGCATAGGGGTGTGGATTGAAGGGGGAGGGTGGGCCGTTTGAAGCAGTGACCCCTGTGATCGTCAATGTCTCTTCTCTCCAATGGTTGTGTTTACAGTTTCCTATTTATGTCGGCTCCGGGGGCTCTCAGGCTGACCTGTGGGCCAGTGGTGGGTGAGAGCAGGGAGCCCTGCAGTGGGGAGCGGGGCTGGGGCCAGTGTGGTTGCCCTGGGCCCAGGGGGACTGAGCCTCCACCGAGCCCCGTGCCGACCCTGCCGGCAGCAATATCTGACAAGCTAAAGCTTATCTAATGCTGGTGTTTTATGTACTTCATTCACTCCAAACAACTCAGCACAATATTTCTATTTTTAGAAGGGTCCCTCCCTCTCTCTCTCTCTCTCTCTCTCTCTCCCTGCCATCAGAGCCTCTCTGCCTGCAGCAGCCCCAGCAGCCTCCTCAGCCCCTGGCACTGCTGCTGGCAGGCACGGGCACCCAGGGGGGATTAGGAACAAGGATGGCGATGATGCATTCCAATCCGGCATCAAGTGTTTATAAAGAGGGCTGCTTTCCACAGCTACTATATTTTTAAAATAAATATTAAAAAAAATAGAAAAAAAAACAAACCCAAAAAAAGAGCCGGGAAGAATGTGCTGCCCTGGGCAGGTGGCTGGGATGGGGATGGACTGGGAAGGATGTGCTGCCCTGGTGTCTTGGTTTGAAAGACAGGTGCTTGTTAAGAAAGGCAGGAGACTCTCTTGAAATGGAAAGTGGAAACCCCCTCCCTCCAAATTACTATAATTTTAAAATTAAGGACCTCTCAGGCAAAGATATGGGAATGGGAATAACAGTTCCTTACTAGGAAAATTAAAATAGAAATGCAGTATTACAGAAAACAAACCCAAACCACTGCCAGAGTGAGAATCCAAGCTGACCCCCTGTCAGTCAGTCAGGGGTTGGTGCAGTCCCATTCCATGGTGGCTGCATCCTCCTGCAGTGACAGATGTGGTTCTGCTGGAGCAGTGCTCCTGGAGAAGGTGCAGTTTTCCTCCAAAGCTCCAGTGATGATGTGGAAGGGTCTGGTTTTCCTCTGGAATGCAGTGGGAAAAGGCTGCTCTGATGTTCCAAATCTCAGCTTTGATCTGGGTAGGAAATGCTTGGCTCCTCCCCCTGGGTGGAGCATCTCCCAATGGGATGATGGAATTTTATCAGCCATGCCCTGGGACTCCATGGCCATTAACAGGAGATATCTCCTGGAGGGAGGATGGGCTGTGGGAAAGATAAAGAACACTGCCCCAGCTGGATTAACAGATGGGATAGAACACACACTGCTGGGCACATCCTGCATTGCAAGCCAAGACACCTGGGCAGGTGGCTGAGATGGGCTGGGATGGGCTGGGATGGATGTGTTGCCCCATGCACGTGGCTGGGATGGGATGAGCTGGGCTGGGCTGGGGATGAGCTGGGCTGGGGTCTCCTCTGCAGGTGTGGGTGATGGTGAGGGGCTCAGGCACGGGCAGCAGGGTGGGAGGCGAGGGCCAGCCGGACAATAAAAGCCCCATGAGAGCAATGGCTTCTGTTGGTCTCTTTTCTGCCAGCCTGGGGAGGGTGGGGCTCAGCTCTCACACAACACAAATCATTTGTGTGTGTCCTCTTCTGCCACCTCCCCTGGGCTCCCAAGTGCCATCCCGAGGCTCTGTGCCTGCACTCACTGAGCAGTGGGCTCACAAAGGAAATAAATCATTTTTCCAGCTGCAATGCTGCCCCAGGGCTGGGTGTGTCTCAGCTGCCCGACCCTGGGAGGAGGCACAAGGAGACAAACAGAAAACCTGCATCTCAAACACACTGAAATGGGATATTTTTGCTTTTTCTGAACAAGATGTTGCATTTTGAGGAGATGGAATAAAGCGCCTGGTGCTGTTTACATTTCTCTTCCACATTTTCCCCTGGCTCTGCTTACCCAATTTGACCTAAATCCACAAATTATTTCAGTTTCCATCTTCTCAGCCCATCACAATCTGTCCAAAACATTTCAACCATCCCTGATTCAGGCTTCCAATTTTAGGACCAGGCAGTCACAGTCTTGCTTGGCCACCCCATCACCCAGGGATAACTCTAATGTTAATTAAATCCACTGAGAAATAAAACAGTATCTTTGCCAACAAAAGTGAGTTTGCAACAGATTTAGCCAACAGGAAAAGTTTCTTCCTCTTTCCCCTCAGGAAACATAAGAGGAAGTGAGCAGGTGATTTAAAAGGTATTAGCAGAAATTAATTAAATTGCTAAATTATTCTGGAATACCTATGGAATTACATATTACATCTCTGCTGGTGCCTTAAAAAAAATGCGATTAGCACCAGTGCAATTAACTCCCAAGTATCTAATAACATTTTGCTGCTCTTTTAGGTAATTAATTTATGAGCCTTTGTTTTATAGTTCTTGCCCAGAAGTGAGCAGAGGAAAACCTTCAGGGCAACCTGTGGCTGTGCACCCTGGGGGCTGGGATGTGCCAGCTGAGGCAGTCAGGCTGAGCCCTGGTGTAGAGATCTTTCATCCTGGGGATAAAATCAGTGATCTGGTGGGTTTCTCTGATGGCTTGGATGGGGGTTTGTTCTGTTACACCCCCATAGCTAGCTCTGCATCCTTGCCTTTTACTGGAATAGGTTCATATTCCCTTGAGCCTGATTTGTTGCTGAGGTTGCTTGGCTGTGTTCCCTGGAGGCAGTCTGCATGGAAAGGGAATATTGCTTTATCCTCCCTGGTTTCAAGAAGGTTTAGGAGTCCACACAAGTTTTTCTTGAGCTTGCTTCCTACTGCTGGTGTGAGGTTTTTGTCTCAGGTGTCCCTGTGGGAGAACTGGAGCAGGAGCAGAGGTCCTGCAGGTGATGCTCACCTGGGATACAGTGCACTCATCGTTCCCAAAAAGCCACAGGTGCTTGATGCCCACCCTGGTGAAGTGGAGAAGAGGCATTTCTCATTTTCTCCTGTTCATCGTCCCCAGGGCTCTGTGTGCATCACCTTCTGCCTCAGCAGCACAGGAGGTTGTGCAGGTTCTTTTCTGGGAGCAGCAATGAGGAGCATTCCCCCCTCAGCAGCTGCCAGAGGAAGGTGGGGAGCAGGGAGAGCTGAGCTGGCTGCGAGAGGAGCATGTCTGCAGGCAGAGGGGCCAGCCAGAGCAGCCAGCAAAGCCCTTGGGGCACGGAGGCAGCACGGCAAGGGCAGCACTGCAGCTGCTCCTGCCCCACTGCAGCTGCTCCTGCCCCACTGCAGCTGTTCTACCCCGCTGCAGCTGCTCCTGCCCCACTGCAGCTGCTCCTGCCCCACTGCAGCTGCTCCTGCCCCAGTGCATCTGCTCCTGCTCCATTGCAGCTGCTCCTGCCCCACTGCATCTGCTCCTGCTCCATTGCAGCTGCTCCTGCCCCAGTGCAGCTGCTCCTGCCCCA